GAGAGAGAGCTGACATCATCACCAGGCATGTGATTTGTCAGAGCAGAGGAGCCAACACCCATCCCCGGGATCTGAGCACTCCTACCCGGCTCTCTGTGCTCCGTGCAGGGTTGAACATTTACAACCACCCCGCTGTGTTTCTGTCCACTGACTCTTTCTGCTCTCTGTTTGTCCTGCAGAGCGAGTGCTGGAAGAGTTTGGTGAGTATGCTCTTTTGGTTTTTGTTTTGTTGTTGTTTTTGTTTTTTTGTTGCTTGTGCCTGTTTTTTTTGTTGTTGCTCACAGTCGTGAGTGCATGCGTGGTGAAAGGCGTGAACGCAAAGTGTGACCTGAGGCGACCCCATGCAGAAGTTGGCTGTCATTAGTATTTGTGCTTCCTCATCTTGTGTTTTCATCGTTTCTCGCTGAATCGCCCAGAGGTGTAAAACTAAACACTTTAGACAAAACTAAAGTCAAAATAACATCATTAAGCATTTAAGGCTGCAACTTATTTTCTTTTTCATTAATCACCCTGTTATGTTCTCCTTTTAATTGTCTATATACAGTAAAAGTAGTGGAACAAAAACACATTTGTATTCAAATTGCTTGTATTTATTGCAACTGCAGTTCAAAACATATTGAGTTTATTATCATAGAAATATTCACACTTGAGAAGCTGGAACCAGTAATTTGCTCAAATGAGTAATCAGAATTGATGCACCCAATAGATGAATCGTTTCTGCTCTAATTGCATTTAACGTGTTGTTACAAATGCTTTGTTGACAAGTTTATGCACCGTGGCTGCAGCAGGAAACTCTAGTTTCTGTTTGGCTGGTAAAGTGTGAGACACCGTAGACCTTAACCACAGGTGTAAATCAGTTCGAGGTATACTTGTTACCATAGCAACAGCACTTAGTTCACCACTAAACGGCAATGATGCCTGACTATGGATTCAACTAACTCACCACTGTAACAGAACACATCTTATGTTTGTTGTTAATTGATCAATGGTATAAACACAATAATGCACCTATAGGTGTTCTGATATAGAAAATAATGGACAGTGTGGAGTAAACAAGTCATGTTATCTTTTACTCTTAATCTAAGAAGTTTTATTCAAATATCACAGTCATTTCAGTTGTGTTGGTTGAGTTTTCCGTCTGAGTCAGTTTATACTCAACGTTTTTTCACAGACATCATCGATGAAATCATCACAGAGGACATAGAGCGGTCGGTTGGCGGCCTCCCTGGACCTCCTCCCCCTCCCGCTAACCTCCAATGCCCACCGTGCAACGAGAACCTCAGGACGCTCCAAACGAGCCCCTCAACGCCATCCCAGCCCGTGCTGCTGGCGAGAGGCACCGCATGTCAGGTGAGTTTTATCAACAAGAACGCCTGGGTGTGGGATCTCTGGGTGTGATGTTTCTGTTCCATTGTAGTCATTTCTGTTGTTTTGGTTTGTCTGCTGTCAACCTCAATGAGCGGTTTTCTACTTTTGTGTTGGCAACACCCAGGGGGCAAGGATGAGGGCATCGTTTTTCAGTTGTGGGTTGCGTGTTAGAAGAAGGCGAGAGAGCAGCAGCAGGCGTTATTGAACCCAGATTAAGTTTCATGATGCACAATAGAAGGCTTTTATTTATGATTACTGAATATTAAGTAAGAAAGGTAGATGCTACCAGACCTGTGACCTTTCCCAGCTTGTCGTCATCCAAGTAAGACATTAAGACATTATTGCCAAAACAAATAGTTAATTAATTGATAAGACAATTTATAGACAATTTTGATCATTAATATTAATAATAATTAAGTTAATTATGAAGCAAAAATGACAAAAAAAGGATTTTCTGCTTATTTCAGTTTTGTTTCATTGTTAATTGCATATTTTTGGGTTTTGGACTGTTATCAGACGAGTAATTTGAAGATCTACCTTGCTCTCCAGGAATTTTTTCTGACATTTTATAGACCCAATGATTAATCAAAACAATCAGTGTGACTAAACCAGTTATTTTGTCCTATTGAAAGCTTGTTGTTTTCAACTGAACTCATTCAGTCTTCTCTGTTAGGATGTAAAAAGACAGCTTTTAGCGAGGATGTTTTATCTGCAGTGTTGTATGTGTGCAGCCTCTCATTGTTTGGGTGCTTTGTTGTTGTTCTACGGAGGAGTAGTTAGGCAGCCAGAGAGCTCGGGCTCTTACCATAAAGCACGTGGTTTACAGACAGCAGGGAGATCAGAAGTGGTGTAATCTGATAAGACTGCAGTGACGCTGTAGCCTGCACAGACAGGTAATAAAAGTAAAGCCCATAAGAAAAACAGCTGGAACTCTTTACTAGCAAATGACCTGTGTGTTTTTCTTTGTGTGTGTAAATAGTTTGTTAAAAAAAAGTCTTTGTCGTCTGCAAGTTGACTGCTGACACACCTCCTCATCATGCTTTCCTGTGAGAGGGGGGGCCGAAAGAGAGGAAGGAGGAGTCGTTGGAAGAACTGTAATCTGACTCCTACTTTCAGTTTGCCAAACTTTCTGTGTCTTCATGAGGTAAAAGGTCAATTTCTTCGTCCCGCGCTGCTTCTCCAATTGGTGGATCTGTGTCAGGTCGAGCTGACTTCCTATTTCCGGTAAACTCGGGCGGCCAGGCTTTTGTTTAGCTCTGGTGTTCTTAAAGGCTAACAGGTATTCCCAGGCTAACGCGCTTGCAGACACACACAAACGAACAGACATCTGCTGCTCGACAGGATATTGTGTAACATGATCTCCTGCAGAGGCATCACCCGGAGTTCTGCAGCAGTTCTGCTTTAATGAACCCCCAGCTTTATAATCGGTAAACAGGCGCCAAAAAAGGGTGAACCTCTTTACGTCTTTGTTCCCTGCAGGTTTGATTATACATCTGTTGTTCGACTGATGCCGTGTGCTTGAGTGAACTTTGTGTCGCTTTGTCTTTTTGTTTTACGTCACATTGCAGCCAGTCGGAGGCCTAAGTAGTCAGAAATCGATGGGTGAAGAGTGTGAGGGTTGAAGATAGAGAAAGTAAAAATATATTCTGCAGCAAGTATGAGTGGTAGCGGAAGGAGCTTGGTGGTCTGTTGTGTAATGCAGGATTAAGGCATTAAACAGCAATAGGAGGAGTCAGAAGAGCGCATGGTTGACTCTTTGCACTGATAGAAAGCACATGTATGAAGGAAAATCATGCTCAGTTTAGCTGCTTGGTTTCACTGCAGCTGTGATGCAGAATGATTCACCTAGAGTGTCATCTCCTATAATGGATGATATAATGGGTCTCTGTTTTATACTTTAAAAACATGTCTGTGACTGTTATTATTATTTTCGCTACAAGTTGATGCTTGATGTTTTCTAATGCTACGTATCACATATAGTGCATTAGTAGCAGTAGTAGTAGTACTCCGATCTTTTAAGTAAGGTAAAAGTCCTGCATTCAAAGTTCCTCTCCAGTATTATCAGCAAAATGTACTTAAAGTATCAAACTAGCCCCTGCGACTGATATTATATGTTACATTATTAGATTGTTAGGACTGATGTATTAATATGTGAGAAGCATGTTACTGTTGTAGCTGCGGGCGGTAGAGCTAGTCTTCCCTATTTCATATAGGAAGTATATCATACATGGGGGTGGGGGGTGTGAGATGATTGATGGGGCTGAAAATAAGCAAAAACTTAAATTCTGTTACACAGCTTTTTAAAATTTTGGATAATTTTACCTTTTTTGGTACTCAAAGAGATGTTTAAATGGCAAATACATCTTTGGAACAACCAGCAACCTGTAGACATCTGAAACTAGACACTGTTTTTTAAGAAATCAGGAGCCATAAAGGTTGAACAATGCAATTTATAAGGTTACTAAATGTGTTTGTATGTAAAATCTTAATGTGAAAAGTAACTACGAGCTGTATCAGTCAGATAAATGTAGTGGAGTATAAA